CTTGATAGCACCTGACTTGCATGACACAAGTAGGCCTGGTGGCTTACTACTGTCACTCTATGAAAGCCAATGTGGTGTAACAGTTAGAGCTTCAGATTAGGGTCTGCAAGACTCAAGTTCAGGTCCCTATCTTGCTGTGGAAGCTGACTAGGTGATTTTGGACCAGTCACATACTTTCAGCCTATATAGAAAGGAGAAGAGTTGGTCCCAACTGTGGAGAAAGGTATGGTATAAATGAAGTAAATAAAAAATAAATATAGCGATGATAAGAGGCAGATTAAAAGTTGCTTAGTGAAGGAGAGAATGAGGCAGGGAAGAGGATATGGGGATTATTAAGAGGAGGTGGAAAGAGGCTACGAAATTCCTAAACATTTTGGGGGGAGTCTGGGGGTTGGAAGAGGGAAGGGACCTCAGAGGGGTATAATACCATAGACTCCACCCTCCAAAGCATCAATTTCCTCCAGGGGGAACTAGGGTTGCCAACCTCCAGGTGGGGGCTGGAGATCACCTGGAATTAAAACTTTCCAGATGACAGAGATTAGTTCCCTTGGAGAAAATGGCTGAGTTGGAAGGTGGACTTTAGGAACAAGAAGCAGCCAGGTATGTTGCAGAGCCCCCCCCCCGCTCCACTTTCAGGTACAAGCTCTCCCTCCTCTGTGAGGGTGGATCTGCACGTTCCCCAACCCCCAATAGCTAGCAATCCAAAACAGTCCAGTGGAGCCTGAGCGGTGGGTGTTGCCTTCAGACACACTTCCGGTGATATCAGGGGGCATGGCATATGCAAATAAGTTATGCTAATAAAATATGCTAATGAGCTCCTGCACCTCTTTTTCTACGAAATGACCCCTGCAGATTAGAGTCTGTGCACTTAACCACTACACCAAGCTAACTGAGATGGTTCAACAGTGTTATCAATGCAACAAACATGAAGTTGAGCACACTCCAGGGGATGGGGGAGGACAGGAGCGCCTAGCGTGATGTGGTCCATGGGGTCACAAAGAGTCAGACTCGACTGCGACTGAACAACAACTACCTTGCTGAGGCTGCGTCCTTCCCCGAACCTCCCCTCCCAAGGCTCCACCCGCAATGTCCAGGAATTTCCCAACTTTGATCTGGCAATCCTAAGGGGAACTTTTCTCTGTGGCTGGGAGATCCGTTGTGATTCCAGGAGATCTCCATTCACCACTTGGAGGTTGGCAACCCTAGAAGGAGAGAAGGAAGCACGAAAAGGGGAGAGACCATGGGAGCTTTCAGAAAAGAGAAAGAGGAAATAGTGGGAGAGGGGGAAGTGAGATGCCTCCTGCAAGTCACTGCAGGTTCCTTCTAGTTCCTTTATAATTCTAAAGTTCAAATCCCTTTATAGAAATGCATTCCTGAATATTTATGTTTTGCACATTCTGCAGTATGAAAGCCTGACCTCCTTAGACAGGTCATTCCACAATGGGGGAGCCACCACAGAGAATGTGTATGAATAGGCATTTGCCAAGCTGTCTCTTTTGCAGTGTGGCCCCTTCCAAAGGCCCTGCTCAGATGAATTAAACTGTCACAATGGACCATAGCATATATTTCCTTCAAGATGCTCAGGGCGATCTATACTGTTCTCTTCTCCTCCATTTTATCGTCACAATACCCCGTGTGATAGGTTGGGCTGAAGGAGAGCATTCAAAGCTACCCAGTGGGTTTCATAGAAAACTGGGGATTCAGAATGGGTCTTCCCTGTCCTAGGCTGCTTCTACAAAACAAGTATTCTGTTTCCTGAGCATCTGGATGGTTCTAGCAGTTTCCAGCATCAGCTGCCATTTCCCCTACGTTTTACAGCAATCTTTTGCTAAGATCTAGGAATTCCTCTGAATTCCCAGCTTTTGTTTTTCAAGTCTTTTAAAATCTTGTCTGAGCCGTACTTCGTCTATCTATGTGATGCATAACAGTTCTCAAAATGCCAGTACTTTGCTACCCATCAAATATGGCTTTACCATGCCTACACAAACCACTAACAGACCTTCTTGTGCACTTGATAGTGGAGCTGTTCCAACTTGCCATGATAATGCACTGCAAGCAATACAGCACTGCTCTGGCATTTCAACACTGCTGCATCAGTCTAAATTGTTAGCATTCGCCTATGACAAACTTGCTGAGAACATGGGGTTTGTTTCCCACTACAGGTGTTAAATTAGCATACCATACTATAACTGGAAAGATTATATTATCACCATGACTACTGTTGTGAATGGGTGATTCTTTTCTTATCTTGCAGGCATCTGGGCTCTTTATAGAACTGCCACAGATTCTATTCCCATATTTCATGGGTATATGGAGTAGGCTTTAATTCATCAAACTTCATGCCATAATAATTTTTTAAAGACATACAGCCCTTTGTTCTTTTTTTAAATAATAAATTTTATTACATTTTCAAATATAAAACATCAACAAATACAAACAACGGCAAATAGTGTATAAGTAAGTAGATTATATAACAATAAGAGTTTAAACAGCAAGAATATCAATAAAACAATTTAAACTACAACTATGAAAAATATTCAAAAGTGAGCAAATCTCCCTTATAAATAAAAGCCGAATGGCGGTGGCACTTCTCTAGAACATTCCACACGCTCCAAAATCAGTTCGCTCTCTGATCTGTCATTCAGAGGGTCTCCCTATCCACTGGCTGCTTTGCCTGAGTCCTGCCTCCAACATTCTAAACATTTTGCTGTTCCTCTCCCCCACATAGCCAGTCAGAACACAGAGGTTATTTACATAAGCAGCCTCATTGGCCTTTGCCTCGGCACACAGAGGTCGTTTGCATATCTGACTTAATTGACTTTTGCCTCTAACATTCTAAACAGTTTGATGTTCTGAGGTAAAATGTGTCCAATCTCCAGGTGAGGGCTGGAGATCACTCAGAATTGCAACTGCTTTCCAGATGGCAGAGATCAGTTCCCCTGGAGAAAATGGTGGGCTCTGTATCCTTATATGCTGCTGAGGTGGCCCCCATATGACAGCCAATGTGACGTAGCAGTCAGGGCTTCAGAGCATGGGAGAGGCTGCAGGTGTATGGGGGGTGGAAAGCTGAAGAGTGAGGGGGAAATAAAGGTAGGTTGATTATTGGCCCCGAGTCTAAACTTATGGGGTCTTTACTCTTTGAACCAGCGGGGACAGATACTTAGAGTCTGTATAGCACGTAACAATTTCAGATGCACTAGGGAAAAAACTAGTGAAGGATAGTGGTTAGCAGGGGCATAGACTTTCGAATCTGGGTGGTGGTGGCTGCGCCTGGGCCAGAGGTGTTGCTATGTTAGGTCCTTAAAAGAACTGGGGCCCAGTGACATCATAGGCCAGAGGTGTCAAACTCATTTGTTATGAGGGCCAGATCTGACATATCGGGACAGGCCATGTGTGCCATAAAATGTAATGCCAGGTATTGGAGATATAAACTGTATAAAGGACAGCAGCTTGTAAGCTCCAAGTTGGTGTATCCTTACTACAAGACCCCATGACCTGTGAGGGGGTGCAGAGGAAAACCCATATGGGCATATGGAGAGCCAGTGGTGCAGCACTAGGTGGACACTCTCACGCTGCTTGACTGCTACAGACAAGGTTGTTCTGTGGGGGTGAAGCCACAACTGGAGTAGCTCCACCCACTCCCCTCCCCAAGCAGTGTTCTGTTCCCTCCCTTGCAGCAGTTGCTTGTGGGCCATATAAGAGCCCTGGATGGGCTGGTTCTGGCCCCCGGGCCTTATGTTTGACAGTAAAAATTATTGGTAGTGAGAGGTAGTGCTAAACTTCTTGATGAATGACTATTTAGTAATTTCCCTTCACATTCTCCCTTTGAACTTCTTCTGTAGGGGAATATAGTAGTGACTTTAAGAAGTGGCCACAGCTGGAAACAATATGTTGGATTAAACAAACCTAGACTGATCCAGCAAGCCGGTTCTTACGTTGCCCACTACATAATTCTCATTATGTGAAAGCATTTTTTAAAATGTACTTTGTTCTTTTCATCTTGTTTGTATTCTTGATTTCATTTATCTGTAATATGACAGTATTGAATTGTGTGCATCTTTTCCAGCAATTTCTGAACACAGGACCAGCCCTCACACATTACCGGGTTACTGTATCCATACATTCTTGCTGGCAGCTAAGATCTTGAGAGTATGATAGGCCCTCCTCCATGTGCACCCAACTTTTGAAGTAGGGAGGATAGTCAGTAGCTATGTAGCATTCTCAGCAGAGGTGCCATTTCTGGCACAGCCACCATTCAGAGGTTTATCTGGTGAGTCCTAACAAATCTGTCCGGATTTAGGAGCCTGGTGAAGAAGACCTTCCCTTTTGCCCAGCCCCATTATTACTATCTGTGCTTCCAATTCTGAATGCTGCTTTCAAATGATGAGATGTGGATGGTTTGAGTTCAGCAGCAGATGATTTAACATTATAGTTGTTTTATAAAATGTGTGTATAAAATTTACGGATTTTTAAAACTTTGTGATGATGCTGTAAACTGCCTTGTTAACCTATATGGCTTTAAGAGTGCAGACTCTACATTTATTTTTAAAAGAATTCAATATAACATTCAAAACACCAGATCGAGCCAGTTGTATTAGACAGACATAACCAGAATAAGACCATGACAGGTGGACGTAAGTTAAAAATAAGACAAGCATTTTTTAATCGGTTCCAAGTTTTTTTATCTTATGGTAAAGAACACAAAAAAGTCATGCCTCCATCAATGCATTCCAGTTTTAGCATACTGAATGGTAATTTCCAATTCACTCCTCTGGGAGTGCAACTTTAGATTATTTTTGCATACAACAATATTTATACCACTCTTTTGGTGTACTAGGTAGAGTGGGGCCTAGGAGGCAGAGGTCTGAACCCACACTCTGCATCAAATGGAATATCTCTCCTTATTATAAAAGAGTTTTGGTGTCCCTCCTGCACACACTCCTGCAGCCTTTCGCTCTCACACCTGCCAGTCTGAAGGATCCCCTGGCTGCACTGGCTACCTCCCTTGCCTCCATTCCACCCACAGAGGCGCCGAGCCGGCCAGCGATGTCTCTGGTTCACTGTGCTCTGAGCCAGCCGAGGGGACAGGTGCTCCGGCGGACGGAGGGTGAGCAGGCCCACTGGGAGAGGCGGAGAAGAGGCGCAAGAGCCCACTCATGTTCTAAAATGCCACGGTTGAGGCGGGGGCAGGGCGGTGACTGCAGCTTGCAGCAAGAGGCTGCCCCTCCGCCAGCAGCCATGTCGTCCTTGTCCGGCCCAGCAGAGGCGGATCTCATGCCACTCCGCGCTGTGCCCCGCCGCCACCACACCGAGAAGCCTCCCTGATGCGGGCCCACCGCTGCGCCAAGACCCTCCTCCTCTCCGACCACGGCGGCAGGAACTGGGATGCAGGCGCCCAGAGAGCAGCTGTGCTCTACCCACTGCTGCACCCCGTGGACGAGGCCGCCGCCCCTTCTTCTCCCAAGGGGCGGGCTGGCTAGCAGTGGCCCAGCTAGAGCTCGTTACATTTGTCTCCGCAACGAGCCCTCTTCCTAGTAAATACATAAATAGTGTACAAATTTAGAACAGGTTTTCTTTATAGGAAAACCCTAACCATGTCCACTCAGATTGCAACCTGTTCTAGAATCCATGCTTGATTATTTACCCATACCCCACCTTTCCCCCCCAACAGTGACTCAAACTGGTTTTTATCACTCTCCTCTCTGGCAGCAACATGGATATTTGAACCTGAGTCTTCCTAATACTAGTCTAACAACTCTACCCATTCCACTGCACAAGCATCATTAGAACATAAGAGAAGCCATGTTAGATCAGGCTAGTGGCCCATCCAGTCCAATACTTTGTGTCACACAGTGACCAAAACCCAGCTGCCATCAGGGGGTCCACCAATTGGGCCAGAACTCCAGAAGCCCTCCCCGAATGTTGCCCCCCAAGCACCTAGAATACAGAGAATCACTGCCCCAGATATAGTGTTCCATCTATACGTTGCAGCTAATAGCCACTGATGGAGCTCTGCCCCACGTGTTTATCCAATCCCTTCTGTCTATGCTTGTAGCCCCCACCCAGGCTTCCCAAGTACTTATCGTGATTTGGCGGGGGACGAAGACGTCTTCGCAGGATCATTCCTGCAGGGACAACAGACGTGCTGCACCATGCCATCGCCAGGAAGTGACACCGGGCGACGCTCTGACAATGGGGCCAGAAACTCGATGGTATCATCGAGTTTTCAGCCCCATTGCCAGAGCGTTGCCCAGTGTCATTTCCTGGCGACGGCATGGTGTGTTACAAGGAGAAATGTTCCGGCCAGGGAGCATGTGTCCCCCGCTGGATTGCGGTAAGTACTTGGCAACCCTACTCCCACCACTTCCTGAAGCAGTGAATTCCACATTAATTACTCTTTGGATGAAGAAGTACTTCCTTTTATTTGTTCTAAGCCTACAGCTCATTAATGCCCATGAATTCTTGTATTGTGGGAAAGGGAGAAAAGTACTTATTTATTTATTACTTTCAATTTGTATCCTGCCTTGCCAAGACAAACTGGCTCAAGGCAGCGTACAGTAGTTAAAATACGATAAAACAATAAATATCTCTATCCCATGCATAATTTTGTAAACTTCTATCATATCATCCCTCAATCGTTGTTTCTCCAAGTTAAAAAGCCCTAACCTCTTTAACCTTTCTTCATAGGGGAGGAGGCTAGAGGGGTATACAGAGGCTAGAGGGACTACAGGGGTGAGTGTTAGCTGAGAGAATTCAGCTAAGGATATTTTGTGGGAAAACTGTGTTTAGCAGTGTGTGGAAGCACTTAGAGTTCTTGCAGAGTCCTGGCTGATTGAGTGTGGGAGAGGAACGGGCATTGTTTGACTGGGATTGCCTGTAATTGAGAGGAAGTGGAAGGGGCATTGTTTTGCCTGTGATTGAGTGCCTGGGTGAATTTGAATTTGAATAGCTGCTGCCTGACCTCTGCTGGGGGAGGCCTCTATTTAAGGAAGCACCTTGCCAGAGGCAGAGGAGACCAGCTGAGCTCTGAGCAGGAGCAGGAGAGAGAGCTGTGAGAGAGGTGAGTGGGTTTCTTTTACTTGCTTTCAGCTGAGAGAATTCAGCTAAGGATATTTTGTGGGAAAACTGTGTTTAGCAGTGTGTGGAAGCACTTAGAGTTCTTGCAGAGTCCTGGCTGATTGAGTGTGGGAGAGGAACGGGCATTGTTTGACTGGGATTGCCTGTAATTGAGAGGAAGTGGAAGGGGCATTGTTTTGCCTGTGATTGAGTGCCTGGGTGAATTTGAATTTGAATAGCTGCTGCCTGACCTCTGCTGGGGGAGGCCTCTATTTAAGGAAGCACCTTGCCAGAGGCAGAGGAGACCAGCTGAGCTCTGAGCAGGAGCAGGAGAGAGAGCTGTGAGAGAGGTGAGTGGGTTTCTTTTACTTGCTTTCAGCTGAGAGAATTCAGCTAAGGATATTTTGTGGGAAAACTGTGTTTAGCAGTGTGTGGAAGCACTTAGAGTTCTTGCAGAGTCCTGGCTGATTGAGTGTGGGAGAGGAACGGGCATTGTTTGACTGGGATTGCCTGTAATTGAGAGGAAGTGGAAGGGGCATTGTTTTGCCTGTGATTGAGTGCCTGGGTGAATTTGAATTTGAATAGCTGCTGCCTGACCTCTGCTGGGGGAGGCCTCTATTTAAGGAAGCACCTTGCCAGAGGCAGAGGAGACCAGCTGAGCTCTGAGCAGGAGCAGGAGAGAGAGCTGTGAGAGAGGTGAGTGGGTTTCTTTTACTTGCTTTCAGCTGAGAGAATTCAGCTAAGGATATTTTGTGGGAAAACTGTGTTTAGCAGTGTGTGGAAGCACTTAGAGTTCTTGCAGAGTCCTGGCTGATTGAGTGTGGGAGAGGAACGGGCATTGTTTGACTGGGATTGCCTGTAATTGAGAGGAAGTGGAAGGGGCATTGTTTTGCCTGTGATTGAGTGCCTGGGTGAATTTGAATTTGAATAGCTGCTGCCTGACCTCTGCTGGGGGAGGCCTCTATTTAAGGAAGCACCTTGGCAGAGGCACGAGCCTCTGGCACGAGCCGAAGGGTGAGCTAAAGGGCTCTTTGCCTGTGGCTCTTAGCCTAGGGACTCTTAGACTAGGGGCGCTGTAAGAAGCCCAAAAAGAGCCAGAAAGACAAGGCCCTAGGCTCTTTGTCTTTCCCGTAAAATAATTTGACTTGATAACAAAACCCACATAAATACCAAGGGTTTAAAAGGGGGATTATATTTATTTATTTTAAAAGAATTATGAAGCCAGAATGCCAGCAGGGGGTTGGGGGCTATCCAGTGTTTTGCACGGAGTGTCACATGTATGACTATCTGCCCACTGGGCAGAAGTCTTGGGTGTGTCCTCGGTGCAAGGAGCTCCTGGTTCTCAGGGAACGTGTGTGCTCCCTTGAGGCCAAGGTGGCTGACCTGGAGAAGCAGAGACAGTCAGCTAGGCACACAGAAAAGACTCTCGGGGACTTGTTAGCTTCGTCCCACTCTGGATCTGGCAGCCCCGCTGCTGTCAGGGAGCATGAGGGTCTAGGGGAAACAGGGCACCATGCTGAGGATAAGGGGAATGTGCCCTCAGAAGGGACCTCTTCCCCAGCTGGTGAGCGGCTCTCCTTTTGCACCAAGGAACCATCCCTGAGCAGGGTGGGAGGGGGGCTCTTGGTAGTGGGTGATTCGATCCTTAGGCAGGTAGACAGCTGGGTGGCGAACCCGCGTACTGACCGTATGGTGACTTGCCTGCCTGGTGCGAAGGTAGCGGACATTACGCGTGTTTTAGATAGGCTGGTAGATAGTGCTGGGGAGGAGCCAGTGGTCGTGGTGCATGTCGGCACCAACGATGTGGGGAAATGCAGTCGTGAGGTCCTGGAGGAGAAATTTAGGCTGCTGGGCAGGAAACTTAGGTCCAGGACCTCCAAGGTAGCCTTCTCAGAAGTGTTACCTGTTCCACGCGCAGGGCCGGAGAGACAGGCAGAGATCAGGAGTCTCAATGCGTGGATGAGACGATGGTGTAGGGGGGAAGGGTTCAGGTTTGTTAGGCACTGGGATACTTTTTGGAACAAGAGGGAGCTGTACAGGCGAGACGGTCTCCACTTGTCCCGAGAAGGAACCAGGCTGCTGGCACTTAAAATCAAAAAGGTGGCAGAGCAGCTTTTAAACTGAATATTGGGGGAAAGCCGACAGGAGATGAAAAGTCTCTGGTTCGGGTTGGCTCATCTGAGAGAGGTGAGGGGGTACCGGTTGCTTTTCTACAGGGAGGTGGATTGAAATTGTCCACAGAGGCCATGGCTGGTGACATGGACTGCCGGACAACGACTCGAGATAGCAAGAGGAAGGATGCAGGCTTAACTTGTAAGGGAAATTACAGCTGTTTCTATACAAATGCTAGAAGTGTCCGAGGTAAAATCGGGGAGTTGGAGTGCTTGGTGTCGGAGGGAAAAATAGACATTGTGGGTATTTCTGAAACTTGGTGGGATGAGGAAAATCAGTGGGACACAGTGATTCCCGGTTATATATTATATCGGAAGGATAGGGGGGGAAGGGTTGGAGGTGGGGTAGCTCTGTATGTCAGAGAGGGTATAAAGTCTAGAAAGATTGAGAGGCTAAGTGAATTGGATTCGCTTCTGGAAGTTCTATGGGTTGAAATAGGGGGGCCAAAAGGAAACTTAACACTGGGAGTTTGTTATCGCCCACCAGATCAAAAGATAGAGGAGGATTATAAAATGATGAATGCCTTAAAGATAGCAACTAGACAAAAACACTGTGTAATAATAGGTGATTTTAACTACCCACACATTGATTGGGTCAATATGTGTTCTAGCCGGGAAAAAGAGATTGAGTTTCTAGACACTCTAAATGACTGTGCTATGGAGCAGATGGTCACGGAACCTACCAGGGGAGAGGCGATCCTTGATTTGGTCCTAAGTAACACTCAAGACCTGGTGAGAGATGTAAAAGTGATTGCACCGCTTGGAAACAGTGATCATAATGTTGTTGAGTTCATCATTTGTACAAATAGAGAATTGGCCAAAAAGACTCACACAACCATTTTTAACTTTAAAAGGGGTAATTTCTCTGATATGAGGGGACACGTGGGGAGGAAACTGAAAGGAAAAGTAGAAAGGGTCAAAACAATTGGGGAAGCTTGGGATCTATTTAAAACTACGATCCTAGAAGCTCAAAAAATATATATTCCGCAGGTTAGGAAAGGCACAAACAGGTATAGGAAAAAGCCTGCATGGTTAACAAACAGAGTAATGGAGGCTGTAAAAAGTAAAAAGAATTCCTTTAAGCAGTGGAAAGCTAGTCACAGTGAGGCTGATAAAACGGAACACAGGTTATGGCAAATAAAATGCAAGTCTGAGGTCAGGCAGGCAAAAAGGGAATATGAGGAGCATATAGCAAAAAACGTAAAAACCAACAATAAAACTTTCTTCAAATACATTAGAAACAGGAAACCAGCCAGGGAGGCAGTGGGGCCCTTGGACGACCAAGGGGTAAAAGGAGTATTGAAGGATGATAGGGAAATGGCTGAGAAGCTAAATGCATTTTTTGCCTCCGTCTTCACTGTGGAAGATGAGAAGTGCTTGCCCACTCCAGAACCACTGATTTCAGGAGGGGTGTTGGAAGACCTGAGTCAGATTGAGGTGATGAGAGAGGAGGTCCTAAAACTGATAGACAACTTAAAAACTGATAAATCACCAGGCCCAGATGGCATACATCCGAGAGTTCTGAAAGAACTCAAATGTGAACTTGTGGATCTCCTGACAAAGATATGTAATCTTTCCTTAAAATCTGCCTCCATTCCTGAGGATTGGAAGGTAGCTAATGTCACTCCCATCTTTAAAAAGGGTTCCAGAGGAGATCCGGGAAATTACAGGCCAGTCAGTCTGACGTCGATACCGGGTAAATTGGTGGAAACCATTATTAAGGAAAGAATTAGTAGGCACATAGATGAACAAAACTTATTGAGGCAGACTCAGCATGGGTTCTGTAAGGGAAGATCTTGTCTCACTAACCTGTTAATGTTCTTTGAGGGGGTGAACAAACATGTGGACAAGGGGGATCCAATAGATATTATTTACCTTGACTTCCAGAAAGCTTTTGATAAAGTTCCTCATCAAAGGCTCCTAAGTAAGCTCAAAAATCATGGGATAGAAGGACAAGTCCTTTTATGGATCAAAAACTGGCTAGTTCATAGAAAACAGAGAGTGAGTGTAGGTCTAATTAATAGAAAACACAGAGTGAGTATAAATGGGCAATTTTCGCAGTGGAGGGTGGTAAGCAGTGGGGTACCGCAGGGATCAGTACTTGGTCCACTACTTTTTAACTTGTTCATTAATGATTTGGAGTTGGGAGTAAGCAGTGAAGTGGCTAAATTTGTGGATGATACGAAGTTGTTCAGGGTGGTGCTGGGGGGGGGCAACAGTGGGAGGGCTTCTAATGTCCTGGCCCCACTGGTGGACCTCCTGATAGCACCTGGTATTTTTGGCCACTGTATGACAAAGTGTTGGACTAGATGGGCCTTTGGCCTGATCCAACATTGGCATGTTCTTATTATGATACTGGCTGATTTGTTTTCAATCCCATCTCTAATAATCTCCATCATAGCACTGGCCTTTTTTATTGCAGCCCCACAATGAGTGGACATCTTCAATGAGTTATCTACCAGGGCTCCAAGACCTCTCTCCTGGACAGTTACCACCAGTTCAGACTTCATTAAGGTATATCCAGGGCTTTTTTTGTACACACTACTGTAGCCAATTCTAATGAGTTTCTGCTGTTGGGTGTGGCCTATTATGCTAATGAGTTCCTGCTGGGTGTGGCCAACTCAGGAGCCAGCAGGAACTCCGGTTCCTGCCCAAAAATAGCCCTGGGTATATCTATAGTTAGAATTTTTGGCTCCAATGTGCATTACTTTGCACTTGCTGAGCCACATTTGCCACTCATCATTTTACTCTTCTGTGCCCTTGCAACAATTAATGCACTTCATAATTAACTACATAGTTATCTGACAAATGGAGCTTTGACCGTGAAAACCTCTCTCCCCCCATCTTGTTGGTCTTTAAGGTGGTACTAGTTTACAATACAGCTGTTCACCTGTAACCCAACACAACTACTTTCTGAAACGTCATTGTTAACGTGTACATGCCAGTTTGGTGTAGTGGTTAAGTGCGAGGACTCTAATCTGGGAAGACCGGGTTTGATTCCCCACTCCTCCACTTGCACCAGGCTGGATGACCTTGGGCAAGTCGTAGTTCTGGCAAGAGCTGTTCTTGGAAAAGAGCAGTCTCTGTCAGAGCTCTCTCAGCCCCACCTACGTCACAGGGTGTCTGTTGTGGGGTGGGGTGGGGAGGGGAGGGAGTTTGTAAGCCGCTCTGAGACACCTTTAGGTAGTGAAAAGCGGAGTATAAATCTAATCTCTTCCCTCCTTCTTCTATGTGCCGGTAGTGTATTACATAGTAACGTTACAATAAACAGAAGCACTACCGTACCATTAAAGGACGAGCTACAGAAAACCTCGCCTTCTTCCCCCTGCTAACCGCATACACGTGCGGCGTGGTGTTTGCATTGGGTTGCACGGCGTCGCGCGATTGGTCTTCTGGTCTTTAAGAAGAGAGGTGTTAGACGCACGCGCGCGGTTCTACCCCCACCCCCGGTTGACGGCGGGAGTTTCTCCTTTCTCTTGTGCGAAAAACGAACGAGATGCCCAACCGCAAAGGCGGAAGGAACGCCTATTATTTCTTCGTGCTGGAGAAGCTGCCGGAGTTGAAGCGACGCGGATTGAATGTGACTGGCGTGGCAGACGCCATCCCGCACTGTTCGGATGACTGGGCGGTGAGGGCAGAAGCCGTTAGTGGACCTCCCCACCCACCCCCTTCGTGGGGTGGGAGCAAGTCGTATTCGCCTTTCCCCCTATTTTAACTTTTCCTCACATACAGGGCTTGTAGGCATTGGCTTAAATCGAGCGCGTGTTTTCTCTAGTCTGAAACTAGCCGTGACGCCCGAGTTTACACGTGTATTTCCATTCATGTGGAATAGTGGGAAAAACTTATCTTATTTACTGGAAACGGAACGCGTGTTTGATACGCGTTCCCACCTGCTCCACTGGACATTTTTTATTTTCAGCGTGCGTCGAGTTTAGCATGACCTTTGAGGCCTATCTTGAAATAAGGCAAATATCTTAAATGTGTGGTTATGCAGTGTAACGCATTACAGGTACCCAAGATGGCTGTGAAAAATCTAGAAAAGTTAAAAGTTTAAATCACTTAGATGCAGGGTTTGGTTTGAACATAAACCAAGTCTGAATCTTTCCCAATCTTCTGAATGTTTGTTACACTTATGTACACTTTACCATGCTTTTTTATTATTTACAGACTAAAAAATGGATGGGTTGGGTCTCCCTGCCATGACTAAACTTTAAGTTGGTTTCCAAGTTCTTCATATATAATGGTATTTACCCAGTGCTAAAAGTTTGCCATTTATAAGCTCACTTGGGAATAAGTCCTGGTGATTTTAATGATGCTTGAATCTAAAAAGAATGAGTAGGATTCAACTGATGGGTTCAGTCCAGCCACAGATTTAAAAAGTACTCAGGTAACATGGATTTCAGTATGAGGTTAGCTTATGCTTAGGGGTTTCTATTGGAGTTACAGGGATGTAAATATTTAACTCTAGATAATTTTGGCAAATGAATTATGGAGAAAAGTTTCTTTTATTTTTGGAATGAAATGATGGAAAACTATAACTGATTTTACTTAAAGTTGCTGACTGAAGAGCAAAAAGAAAAGTATGCAGATAAGGCTCGGCTATGGAAAGCTAAGAAATCGGAAGCAGGAGCAAAGGCAGTAAGTAACAAAATATGTATAGATTTGAGTGTAGAAATATTTAATATTGTTCCTTGTTTTAACTACTCTAGTAACTTGGAAGGTCCCACAGTTGAAGAGCTACACATTAATGAACCTGCAAAACAAAAAGAAAAGTAATCTTAAAATGTGAATGCATTTGGTAGAATGGGCAGGGGTGCTTTTCATACAGGAATAGGCTTATGTGGTTTTCTTGTTGAGCAATGAACACAAATGGTACTTTCATGTGAGCACATCATTGACCTCAACAGGGGATGACTTGTGTGATCTAACTGCAAGGGCTACATAAGAAAAGGAAAGGTCAAATTACAGAGACGTTATGATCTGTTAATTTTCATTGGTTTGGTTTATAATGAATAAATTGTTCAGCATTTTTTTTCCTTAAGTCACCTGGCCAGGCCCCGGTACCTCTTCCTATGCAAACACGGACTGTTCCTATTGAGAGCCTCACCAACACATCCAGGAAGTCTGACCCAGGTGAGGAGCTCTACAAGTATCTTTTCTCTCTTGTGCATATGTTTCTTTCATTCAGTCTGAGGACGGTGGAAGGTAACAAATAAATTTGCTCTTTGAACCCAAGGAGAAGCTGTTAAGGGAACAACTGCATATATAAACTGTGGCCCAGAAGGGACCATGAGGGTCTCAACAGAGTAAGGACAAAAGAAGCAAGCCTAGATTGATTGGGTTGGCAGATCTTGAACTACTCAAGGAGAAGTGTATGCATGCATACATACATATGGTCCCCCCACCCCAGGTGAAAGCTTGGAAAATACAGATTTACTGAAGTAGAAATGTAGTTTTAAGGGAAGGGATTTTCAGGAAGTTACCATACAGCTTTTCCGTTCTCTCACTTTTGTATTTGCAGGAAAGTGAGTAGATCATACGCCTCAAGTTTAACATGGCATTTATTCTTAAATGATAGTTTTTTTCCTTTCCTACGTTAGTGGCTAATATTGAACTTAAATAAGTAGGAGCCATATTTGGTAAAGTTAGAAGCTGTAGTATTTTTAACACCTTACAATAAAATCAGGAATGAAACATGCAAGTTGAGGGGGATAAGAAAAAACTCAAGCTACTGTAGTGACTGCTTGCTGAAACAGATGCAAGTTTGTAGTTTGCTGGGGGGGAATTACATAAAATTCACTGAGGGTACAGTACAGGAACTTTCACCTTTCAACAATTTCAGGCTAAAGTTAGGGTGAGTATATTCTTCAGTGGTGGTATTGCTGCTTGGTGTAGTGCTTAAGAGCACAGACTCTAATCTGGGAGAACCGGATTTGAGTCTCCACTATTCCACATGCAGCTGCTGGTGTGACCTTGGGTCTGTCATAAGTTCTTTCAGAGCGGTTCTCTCAAGGGCAGTTCTCGAGAGAACTCTTCCAGCTCCACCTACCTCACAGGGTGTCTGTTTGGGGCGGGGAAGGGGAAGGGACTGTAAGCCGCTCTGAGACTCCTTCTGGTAGTGAAGGTATAAATCCAAACTCTCCTTTTTATATTCAATTCTGTTCTTTTTGCAGTGACTCTTAAAAATGTATTCTACATCCTGAACATTTTCAGCCATGGAGAACTGCCTCCTCATTGCATTCAGCGTTTTCTCCCTTGTGAAATTGGCTGTGTCAAATACTCGCTTAAGGATGGCATAATTGCAGACTTTCACCTTTTTATAGATAGTGGTGAGTTTGGGACAAGGGAACGCAAATCATTGGTCCTTTATGTTTGAGTGGAGGCGAACAGACTTTCAGTCCTATTTCCTTAGATGTGTTGCTTCAGGTGGATGTATTCCTGCAGTATAAAAAAGACTGAGTTCAGGATCTGTGCAAAAATTCTATTTAACATAATCATCAAATAGAGTTGAAATTAGAATAGATGGAACACTCCTCTTGCCAGCAGGAAACATGATTGCAAAATTCATATTTTATATAGTTGGATGCTTTACACTTCATTTTCCCATGTTAGTAAATCTTATAAAGAAATTGAGTATACTAAGAAGGGCATACTTGAACAGTAATCTCCCGCTCTGCCAAAATGGAGGAAAGACCACACTGTAACACTATAAACCCTGTAACCTTGGTGTTATGTAATACATGCTGGGTTTCTCTCTGGTCTTTTGCAGGTGCAGTTCCCCGGGGTTTTCGGTTTCATTGCCAAGCTGCAAGTATGAATTGGATAAGTGACATAGAATTTAGGGAAGTGGTCATATTCTGGGTGGAGAGCAGACAGTCTGAAGTTCCTTTCTGTACTGTTTTCTTTGTTTGAAACAGTTTACAATAAAGTAGGCAAATCCAGATATTAACATATTAGATAGCTGTCCAAGACTTTTTGATGATAAAGCCCTTGAAGCAGTTTACAGTATTTTAACTGCCTCTCCCACCTACCCTGTCCCATTCTGAATATTAATCCTGGTTTCTGAGAGAACGTTTTAGCCCCTCCTCCCAGGGCAAGAGGTCTTTTATATCTAGAATGTCACGCAGGGAGGAGCCATGAGCTGCTCTGCGTCTGATGGGAGAATGGCAGTTAACTGATAGACGCCTTTTAGTTCAAGAGAACACTTTAGTCTTACTCTTTTCCTCTTTATGTACTTGTTGAATATATTGTCTTGATGTAGTTGTAGGGTAGCAACCTGAACTAGCCCGAGCCTGTCAGAGCTTGGAAGCTAAGCAGGGTCAGCCACAGTGAGTACTTGGGTGTGAATACCAAGTACTTGGATGTGTGTACCAAGGATGTCCAGGGTTCCTACACGGCGAAAGGCAATGGCAAACCACTTCTGCTCATCCATAGGTTTTCATGTCTTTGAAGAGGTTTAAGCACTCATATTGCAGAATTCATGAATCACAGTCTCGGGCTAGCTATAGGTAGGTGAATTATGCAAAGGGCAGAGTTTTTTATTTTAGAGGTCATGAGTTTAAGACACTTGAATGTTTTGTTGTTAGGTGATGCCACTCATAGGATTCCCATCTCTGGCGTTGAACTTGCCTCTTCAAGCCATTCTGTTGTGTTTCGTGACCTGTGTATGTTCATCCAGCCACATAGGAACAACTGGCCGCTTGTGTATTGTAAGGTACAGTGTAATGTCTTCAGACTTGAATTGTTCAATTTTTTCAGAAGTAGTGGTCTAAAATCTCTATACAAATATTTATTTTCTCACAGGAGCAATTTGGATATGATGATAAAGCCTTTTGTTGGTGTAATTAAGTAATGGTAGGCTTTCAATTATCTGTTTGGTCATTTCCAAGGCTGCAAGGATTTGTGCCTAGTCTGGACTACACTGTGTATGTACAGGTGCCTAAGGAAGAGTGGGAAAAAAGCTCAGGCTTCTACCGGGTGGATATTTATTTATTTTATTAAATTTATGAGTTGCCCACCCTTCATGCAGGCTCTGAGTGATTTACCGCCTTATAAAACCTTTAAAATACAATCAATAGGTTACATTTAACACTGAGTTGTAGGTGATGGGCATCCATTCAAATAATTGTTTTGAGTGCCTTGAGCTTGAGAAAGCTGCAAATATACTTTTTAATTAGGAATCCACCATATCTACTTTTTTGTTTCCCTTTCCTCCAAGGAGCTCAGGAATGTGCAGAGTTACCCTTTCCCATGTTTTATCCTCACAACAGCCCCGTGAGGTAGGCTGAGAAATAGCTGCTGCAGAGTTGCATTTCATAGCAGAGCTTGTAAACGTCGTCGTTATTGCAAGGGATATGCTATAGAAGTGGCATACAACAACATTAATACCCTGTGATAAACTTCTACGTGTTTTCATCTGTGCCTCTGTGAATATTTTTCCATTTTCTAAGTATTCATTTGCCAAGTGCTGTGGAATAGAATGTCCCTTGAGTTCTTGACAGGCATTCGCTTCACCTGTGTCAATGGTCTGCACTCAGAAGTGTTGGCCTCCTTGTGTCCCTCGCCTCTGAGCATCAAAGACCCATCCTAGGTTCAACTTAGACTTCCTTGGGTAGAGTTGAGCAGCTGTGCTTATTGCTGGATAGGTTTCACTCATTTCGCATCCACTTTCCATCTTGTAATGGAGACACAGCAGCCAGGTCCTCCCCATATCCAGTATATTTCTCCCTCTAACCTTGAATAACAGGCCTTAGGTTGGAGGTGTCACTACAGTCACACAAATTTATTACACATACTTTGGTGTTATAAAATAGCAATTTTTGTGTGTGCCAGAGCTTTTTGTATATATTAGAATTAATGGGCCATGATTTACTATTTGGTCTTGTGGTTGCTTTATTATGCTATGTGTATCTACTTCAGGGAGCTTCAAACCTATGTGTAATGTTCTGTTAGAAACAAATGTACCAGGATACTGTGGGAAAGCAGGGAGGGGGAACACACCTCAACAGCACTGAACCCAAATCAGTCCATGTGCCCATTGTCTGTGGCTTCGGTCCTTACTCACTTCACTTCTTACTTGTTCAAAGGTCTTGCCGCTTTTTATTCACCAGCAGGGGTTTCCCCTCAGCTGAAACCTGTCTGTTTTTTTCACAGTAGGCAGGTTTCGCTTTGAACCAGGGGCCATCTGTTTACAAAATAAGCTTGCAGCTCTTAGAGCTGAAGTGTCAAATTCATTTGTTACTAGGGCCAGATCTGACATCTGGTGCTGAACCTCTGATGGCACCTGGTATTTTGGCCACTGTGTGACAGAGTGTTGGACTGGATGGGCCATTGGCCTGATCCAACATTGGCTTCTCTTATGTCCTTATGACATAAATGTCACTTTGTCGGGCCAGGTCATGTGTGCCATAAAATGTAATGCCAGCTACTCGACATATAAACGATATAAAGGACAGCAGCTGGTAAGCTCCAAGTTGATGTATCCTCACTGCAAGGCCTCATGGGCTGGGAAGGGGGTGCAAAGGAAAACCCATATGGGCAGACTGGAGAGCCAGCAGTGCAGCCCTGGGCAGATGCTCCCATGCTGCTTGACTGCTGCAGATAAGGTTGTTCTGCCATGCTGAAGCCACAGTCGGAGTGGCTCCATTCGTTCACTCCCCCCCCCCCCCGAGCAGTCTCCTGTTCCTTCCCTTGCACTAGTTGCTCGCAGACTGCACAAGAGGCCTGGATAGCACCATTACGTTTGACACCCCTGTCAGAGTGATTTCCATTGCATTCTTCAAAGGATAGCATAGCCTTTCTCTGTGTAGTGGTGTCTGTGTCCCATCTAAGTTGGTCTATACTCCTTACTCCTTTTCTTCCTGAGTTTATAATTTATGGGGCAGGACCAACTGTGCACCTTGGAATATTATAGGGTGCAGTTCTTGTAATCAAACACATGTTTCTGTCGTGAGCCCACTTACCTTCCCCAGATCGCACCAACTTTTCTCCTATTTGGAGCTTTCACCAGATGCAGGAGATTTGTCTTCCCAGGTAATCTTCGTGTGTGGTATAAATCCTCAACGCTGACCGCTTTCTGTTCTCCTAGTAGATATTGCAACATCTTCCTCCTAGGCAGAATCCCTACTGCTGTACTGGGAGACCTTCCACAAATGACCATTAAGTCATTTGTCCTGCTTTTGTTCCTCTGGTTCATTTAAAGGACCAGCGAGTGTTCTTCCTGAGCTCATCTGTCTGCTTCAGCTGTTGTGAGACTTCTGTTGCCACTGTGTACTCTATGTATCGGATGCATTAGGTATGAATAGAGCCACTCGAAGACTATTGTTGTGTAATACAAGGTTATCATCTTGTGTTCGTAGAAGTTACTTTTGCAGCCAGAGTGGGATTAAAATTAAAGGTGGGGGGGGTCTCATTCTGTTGCATTGATTTTACAATAGATGCCTGGTCACTGAACCTTATTTATTTATTTGTAGTCTGATGACCTCTTTAGGGTGAACTGGTGTCTGAAGTACATGGCAGCAGAAGCAGGTGAGATGATACTTTACAGTAGAAAAGTCTTACTATGGAGATTTTTTTGTTTCCCTTTGCTCCTGAACTCTCTTCTCTCTAATAGGCATAACAAATCAGCTGAAGCTTCTCAATGTGGAAGATCTTGTGATAGAGCTGTATCAGCACAAGTTTCAAAAAGAGCCTTCCAAGACTTGGGTATGGAACACACTGGATGTTTCCATGTGGGATTATTCCAGCAATACTAGGTATAGTATACTCCCCCTCAGAAAAGATACTTTAAGAACTATCATGCACAATCTGCTTACAGGACACTGTTCAGATAGACATATATGTGATGGATGCCAAAGCGCAGACTTGCCATTTGTTCAGAAAGAAAAGGCTTAAATCTTATTTATGAAAAAGCACCCATATACCCCCCCCCAAAAAAAAAGTATTTGGCTCAAGTGATGAATTTAAAACTTGGTGCTTTCAAGATTTTCAAAGTACGTGAGTGCTGAAGCAAAACAGACTTCTGTCTCTCCTGTACTTGTATAGAAGGTCATCTGAGTGGCATGCAGCTATCAAGCAGGCAAATGATCCTAGGCAAGTGTACTTACCTATTCTCAGCTCTGTTAAATGAGGAAACAAGCAGCAGGGACAACTTGTCCTTTTCTGCCTATTTTTAAGATGTTTTGAAAGTAGCCCTTCTGGTTAGGAAAAACAGATAACTAAATTCAGGCAGCAGCGTCAAGCCTTAATATTGGGCATAGGTATTAATTTCATTTCAGTGAAGCCTCTTTTTGGGGGGGGGTTTAGTTTTGGAGCATTATGCAGTGCAGGCCTGTAGCTACAGTGGGGCATTTCGGGGCCTGCCCCCCCCTGACTTCCCATCCAGCCCCCGAGCTCTCTGGGCTGCCCAGAGGAATCCCAACTCTGGGCCACCTAGAGGACTCCCTTCCCCAAGCGTGGCTTGCGTCCCCGCGTAGGCCAGCAGAGTGTGAACGCTGCAAAAGTGAGGGTTTTTTAATTTAATTTTTATTTTTATTTTTTATTTTGTGATGTCAGTACCCCCCTGACTTATCTAAAGGCCCCCTGAATCACAAAATCCTGGCTACAGGCCTGATGCAGTGACTTAATTTGTCTGTTAACTTTACAGCATCACCTCTGTAGGGTATGTTTGGTGATCTAATGAGAGCCGATATTTACAGTGCTAGATCAAACTGTTGAGAAACCTTTTACAGGTTTATTGTCATAACTTTTTTTTGTAACTAGGCTATTGAAAGTATTAAGTTACAGTCCTGAAGATTTTTCCAACACCTTATCCTGGAGTAAATGGAAGTACAATGGAATCTTACCCAGAGCTCAAAACATTGTCTCAGTGCTGGAGTGTATATTACACATTCCAACTTTTTATGAAAGTTTGCTTTATTCGTAGGTGCAAATGGCATGAAGAGAATGATATACTATTCTGTGCCCTTGCTACCTGCAAGAAAATTGCGTGAGTACTATTAAATCCAAAAACATTTATTTATTTATTCATTTATTTTCAGATTTAAACCCCGCCCTCCCAGCCAAGGCCAGCTCAGGGCGGTTTACAGAAAGAGTAAAACATACAATAGACAATTTAAATAATCCTAAAACCATATGAAACATTCTAACATTAAAAGGTGCTAACATCGATGATACTGATAAGTAAAGAAATTGTAAAGATTTATATTGTAATTCCTGTGGGGTAGAATTAATGTTGGCCTCATTTCACACTGTGTATGGGGTCTTGTTACTTTAAGGTATAATCTGAGGATATTTCTGTATATTGCATTGTATGTTTTTTGTCCACTTGAGTTGAATGAGAGACCAAATGATGTGCCTTTGTGGCATTTCTATTGTTCTAGGAAGTGTAGGTTGGTTTTTTCAATCCAGTCTTGTTACAGGGGTTGAATTACAAATTGTTAGTGTTAGTAATATTTCACATAAAGCTGGTAGGAATACAAAAGTTCTTAAACTGTCCCAAGTAATATCAAATTTATTGTTTTTAAGTTTTCAGACAGGCATTCACTGCAGGCTTCTCTTGGATACTAAGCATGGAGAGTTAAGGGAACCTCCATATACAGAGGCAACAGACCTCTAAATACTGGGGCCAGGAGGCAAGCATTAGTGGGAAGGCCTTGGCTTCTATGCCAGGTTGGCTGCTGTGTGAAACAGGAAGCTGAACTAGATGGACCACAGGGCTCCTCATGTTCTTAACCTTCTGGTACTTGGATCTTATTTGTCTAAAAGTCTCTGTGCTCTAGACACTCCTAAAAATAATTTATAAACTTTCCGTTTTGTCTTGCCACTAAGGAAGCGTCTTTTTAAATTGTGAGTGTATTTTTTTTAAGTTGATGGGTGCACATTTGTCTTGCTGTCATTGTTTATTTTAGTTTTCAGTTTATATTATCAGCTGTAGTTGTTTTGGATTTCAGTCTCTTTAGAATATGAGAAATATGACATCACGGTGCTTCTTTTTCTTTTCCACATAGGTATTGTATCAGCCATTCTCTGGCTGACCTGTATGGCATCCCACTAACTTCATCTCATTTACCAGTGCGTGACAAGGATTCTCAAAGTACAGTGAATCCTAAGATGGTAGTACTGGATGCTGGAAGATTTCAGGTCAGCTTTTTAAGTTAATAAATTGTTTTATCTTTTGTGACTACTTTTAATCCTCTTGGAGAAATATAGCAGTGTATTTATAATGTGGAGGGTGCAGTAGTTGTTCCCTAAAAAAAATGCTGCAGTCATCAAATATTTTGGGAAATAGCTCTGTTAGCCAGAATATACATTTTTGTTCTTTTGTTAATTTGATGATTACACTTCCAATATAGCGAATTAATAATGGATTTACCTATGGGCACACAAGTGTATTTGTTAGCTGCTGTATCCTCCTTGATCATGGCTTACTTGGGGCATCTTGAAAACCTGGCAAAAGGAGAGCTTGAGAGTCTTGTTTTAAGACTGAATGTGTGTGTGACTTTCTCTTTTGCTTTTGTCTGCACTGCAGAGAGGGAAGGCCCAGCATGGGGAAAACGATAGGTACTTCACATCTCTTAATCAGGATAAAGATGCCATTCCTTACGCTGGTGAGTGGATGCTTATGTTGTAAAATTAAAAGTAAAAAACACATGTTATTGAAATTCTTTAGTGTATCAGTACGAAAATGCTATTGTGTAACTGAGGCATCTTCCATTTCATCCATTTCTGGAGCTTCATTCTTTCTGTATAAATCTAGGAAGTAGAACAAAATGGCACCCTTAAGACCAACAAAAGTTATATAGGAAGTGTATCATAGCTTTGCCGTGATCTGGAAAGTGCAGGTTAGCCCGATCTTGGAAGCTAAGCAGGGTCAGCCCTGGTCATTATTTAGATGAGAGATTGCCAAGGAATACCAGGGTCACTACACAGTGGCAGGGAATGGCAGACCTTGAAAACCCTACTGGGTCTATAAGTTGGCAGTGACCTTGATAGCAAAAAATGTTTTACTTTGGATGTTCAGGATTCTATCTGCAATGATGCTAGCTAAAACTTCTTAATGAACACAAGCTTAAACAGGCTTGCTTGCAATGATTAAAATTTGTGTCACTAAGGAAGCAGTCCATTTCTCTGCCTGATCTCGAGTGTACTTTTATGTAGTATTATCCTACCATTCCTCCAAGCAGCTGAAGGTAGCAAACATAATTCTTCTCTCCATTTTATCTTATCAACAACCCTGTGAGGTAGATTGGGCTGAGAGAGTCAGTAACCCAGGGACATCTAGTGAGCTTCACAGTGGAGTAAAGATTTGAACCTTTTGAACCTTGTCTCCCAGATCCTAGTCCTCAACTTCAGCCACTCTGTCTGACTGACTCTCCAGTTAATAAGCAGTGAAGTGGCTAAATTTGCAGACGACACGAAGTTGTTCAGGGTGGTGAGAACCAGGGAGGATCATGAGGCACTCCAGAGGGATCTGTCGAGGATGGGCGAATGGGCGTCAACATGGCATTCATTGTGGCCAAGTGCAAAGTGATGCACATTGGAGCCAAAAATCCCAACTATAAATACACATTGATGGGGTCTGAACTGGCAGAGACTGACCAAGAGACAGATCTTGGAGTCGTAGTAGATAGTGCAATGAAAATGTCGAGACAGCGTGCAACTGCAATAAAAAAGGCCAACGCTATGCTGGGGATTATTAGGAAGGGAATTGAAAACAAATTAGCCGGTATTATAATGCCCCTGTGTAAATCGATGGTGCCACGTCATTTGGAGTACTGTGTGTACAGTTCTGGTCACCATACCTCAAAAAGAATATTATAGCAGTGGAAAAAGTGCAAGAAAACCTATGAAGAAAGGTTAAAGCGCTTGGGGCTCTTTAGCTTGGAGAAACGACGGCTGAGGGGTGACATGATCAAGGTTTATAAGGCTATGCATGGGATAGAGCAGGTTGAGAAAGAAGAACTTTTTCTCCCTTTCCCACAATACAAGAACTCGTGGGCACTCAATTAAATTGCTGAGCAGTCGGGTTAGAACAGATAAAAGGAAGTACTTCTTCACCCAAAGAGTGATTAACACATGGAATTCACTGCCACAGGAGGTGGTGGCAGCTACAAGCATGGACAGCTTCAAGAGGGAATTAAATAAGCATATGGAGCAGAGGTCCATCAGTGGCTATTAGCCACAAGGTATAGATGGGAACTCTCAGGCTGGGCCAAGTGATACACTGTATTCTTGGTGCTTTGGGGGGGGGCAACAGTGGGAGGCTTCTAGTGTCCTGGCCCCACTGATGGTCCTCCTGATGGCACCTGGTATTTTTGGCCACAGTGTGACAGAGTGTTGGACTGGATGGGCCATTGGCCTGATCCAAAATTGTTTATTTATTTATTTTATTTCATTTATATCCCGCCCTCCCCGCACGCGGGCTCAGGGTGGCTTCTATTATGTCTTCTCTTATGTTCTTATGGAGGCATACAGCTTCAGATATGCAGCCTAATTCCTTATCACATAAACTCCAACAAATGGTAATGAGCCAGTTCAGTAGCAATGATTATGTCCATGGGGTTGCTTCGAATTCTATGCATGTGCATATATAAAGAGAGTTGCTGCTTCATTCGCTTAACTTGGTTGCAGATTGTCATAGGGAAGTATCAGTGGAGTTCAGAGTTGCCTTTGCAGGGTTATGTAAATAACCTAGTCTGCTGAAATATTTTTACAAATGTGCATTGGTTGAAAGCTGCTGTGTTGAAAATGTTGCACCGGGACTAGACTTAAAGTCTGACGTGGTCACTAGTATTAGCGCTGTTAAGCACTTAGGCTTCCTTCACATGTTCAATGAGTAGAACAAATTTAGAGTCCAGTGGCACCTTTAAGCAGGGGTCATTTTGCAGAAAAAGAGGTGCAGGAGCTCATTAGCATAACATATGCCACACCCCATGACATCACCGGAAGTAACACCCACTGTTCAGGCTCCACTGGACTCTTTTGGATTGCTAGCTATTGGGGGGGGGGGAGCGTGCAGATCTGTCCTCGCAGAGGAGGGAGAGCTTGTACCTGAATAAAACTTGGTCTCAAAGGTGCCACTGGACTGTTTTGGATGGGGGGGGGGAGCTCTGCAACTTACTTGGTTGCTTCTTGCTCTTACTGAGGGCTGCTGGGAGCAGGGGGCGGAGCTTGTTGCATGTGCCCGCCCCCTGGGCTCTTTACTGCCGGAGCTCCGTTCCTGTGCGCTCCTACAGGAAATGACCCCCCTGCCTTTAAGACCAACAAAGTTTTATTCAAGGTATGAGCTTTTGTGTGCACACACTCATACCTTGAATAAAACTTCGTTGGTCTTAAAGGTGCCACTGGACTCTAAATTAGTTGCTTCAGACCAACATGACTGCCCACCGTTGGGTCTGTGATAAATGAGTGTGCAGGGGAAAAACCATGTAAATTGCACTTCCACGCTGTTACTTGGTATGCACAGAAAAATAAATGTATGGTGATCTTTATACAGGGTTGTTCCAACATGGAAATGCTTCCTGTGTAAACCAGAAAGAAGAGCCTGGCTGCATCTAATGTAGTACTTTGTTTGCTACAGTGGCAGCCAGATGAAGCAGTAGTCAGGACTGTACTGCCTGTGAACATGGGTGTTCTATTTAGCCATTGATGCCTAGCCCTCATAAATGGATCTAATTTGCTTTTAGAGCAACCTACAATTAGAAGCTATCACTGAATCTTGTGTTGGTGAACTTCATAAGTTAATTATATAAAGTATAAATATAATGCTTTGGTTTGTCTGCCCTGAATCTCCTGCCTATCAATTGCACTGGGCAATACCAAACACGAAGTATTATAGTGGAGCGAGAAATTCTCTATCCGCTTTCTCAGCACAGTGTGTGTGTCCCTTTACCTCTTTTTTAAAAACTACATAAACTGAACAGGTTTAGCTTTTCTTTATAGAAAAATGGTGTTCCTAGTTCCTTGACCAACTTGTGACTCTTTTTATACACATCTACAATTCCTTTTTGAGATGGGAGTGACCAGAACTGTACAGAATTCCAAATGCAACTACACTATTGGTATATACATGGGCATTACTGGCTATTTTATTGACAATCCTTATATTCTAATAATCCTAGTATAAAAATGTTACCACTGCTGCACTTTGAGCTTTCCACCACAGTTCCTAGATCTCTTTCCTACTCCAGTCCTCATCAATGTGTATTAAAATAAATTTATATATACACTCACACAAACACATAGCTTTTCAGTCACATTGTGCCTTGCAGTGTGCTTACACGTTCACCCAATTAAGTTCTTGGGAGACCATTTGGGATTTCACTATCTTGAATAATTTAGGGGCTTTGAGAAAGCCGGGGCTACTTCACTGCTCACCCCCAATCCCAGTTAATTTATGAGTAAATTAAGAGTCAGTCCCAGCATGGACACCTGGGCACCCTACTGCTTGCTTTCCTGCATTACAAGAACTGTCTATTTTGTGCACCCACTGCTTCCTAATTAATTAGTTACTAATCTTAAGAGGGTCCCTGTTCCCTTATTCAGTGAATTCTAAGTTTATTCAAGGTGGGCAAGTGATGTAGGTTTTCCAGAGAAGTATTCCAATTCAGAATTTACATATTTAAATTATGTTCACAAAAGAACTCAAATACATCATGTACAAGCCTAGACCATAGGTATTGGAGCTTGCCATGCTTCATATCCCACATTTAGCCCATCTAGCATGACTGATTTGCACCGCAACAGCCCTGATAACTATTAAACAGACTATATTTACATATGTGGGGCAGAAAATTTTCCACAGAAAAATATAGCATCGGAGCATTTTTCCATCCCACACCACTGAGGTTGGAACTCTTGACAAAACCTTTTTGGAGGCTGAGATACATGTATACTGGATCACCCTTATTTGTGTGATTCTTAACACCCTCAAAACTCCAAACAGCTGGTAAGATGAAGCTTTCATTGCTGATGGCAGCTGATTGATTGTTCCTCAGTAAAGGTTGTTTTGTACACTTAACAATTCTATTTTTAAAGCTTTCTACTGGTGTACCCAGAACAGACAGTAAACTGGCAGGTTTGTAATTTCCTAGAATCCCTTATTTATTTTTAAAGTTTTAATGTTTACTATTTTCCAGTCCTCTGACAAATATGTCAGTTTTAGTGACAAGTCACACATACCTGCTGGGGTCAGCAGTTTCACATTTGTTTTTCAAAGAACTTTTGGTGTACACCATGTAAATCTACTTGTTAATTTTTAATTTGGCTCTAGAATGTCTCCGTTCTAGAGAGTTTCAAACAACTTCCTTCAAAATAGCAGCTCTTCTGCAGCCATTAGTCCAACAGTGTCTGCAGCGAAGACTGAAAACATTCTTTTAGCTTCTCTGTGTTCTTCTTTAGCAGTCTTTCTCATCTAAATGTTCCCATTACTATCCTCAGAGAAACCCTGTGAAGTAGGCTATGCTGCTGCAAGGCCTCTCACAAGAAATCTAATCCAACTGGAAAGTTGAACTTGAGTTTCTGACATTCAAACTCAAGATTGTATTGACTGCATCATACTGGTAAGGATACTTGGGTACAGATCCCTAAAGAAGGTTATGCAGTAACAGCCTTGTTTTCTGGCATTCAGTTAACCAGCATGCCAGCTGCCACTGTCTGCTCATAGGGGAGTGGACAATAGCAAAGCAGGCTCAAAGTCCAAAAGATCCCTAGTTTCCTGCCCACATGCTGCTGATCAGCTGTGTGGCAGTCAGCGATTTAGAGCATCCTTCCAGTCATCACCAGCAGCACAGCTCTGCAGCAATAGGCAGGGTGTGGTGTGGCACATCTCCTGCTTCTCCCATACCACTGATCAGCTGTGTTGTGTACTGGCCTTTAAATCACTTTTTGCTTAACAGCTGATAGGTGGTGTGAATAGGCTTGGTGTCTGGGTCAGGAGTGCCACCTCCCCTGCTGTCCAGAGTGGTGCCCATGGCCAGAATCCCACCAGGACCTACTACCTGCTCTTCCTCTACCTCCTCTCAGGCTGTGTAGAAGCAGCAGTGCGTTCCTGCTTGGTTAACCAGCATACTTGGTTAACTGGCAATTCCAGTCCCCCAACTATGCGGGTTAAAACAACTTTTATTGTAGTCCATGCTCTTGAACTAGATCTGCATCTACTGGCACTGTATTATTAGTAGCTGGTTCCTGACTTTGAACAGTGTTACCTGTATGGGTGTGGCCTCCTTGAATCTTGCTGACTTCTCGGGTTATTATTTAGGCCCTCATGATGACAAAGGACTTTATGTTGTCCCCTACCATATGGAAGATATACTATTGAGGTTTTGTTTAGGAGGGAAGCAAAGGCTAGTTTTTTCCTTCCTTTCTAGACACAGTGTACAGCTGAAGCTTAGTGGAGCTAGTACTCACTATTTACATCTGGATCTTGGGTGCAGCTGAACCTTTTGGGCTTTTGAGGGTGTGCTTAATTCATATGCTGACAGAAACATACTATTTATTTTAGGTGAGTATCCTTCAGGAGTGAAGATAGTGAATGAAATGAGCACTGGCCGTGGAAGAGGAATTGTACACTTTCTGGAGAGCATCTCCAAGCAGCCCAGCAATTGGAAATCTACAAGTGCTTCCCGTCCATAGCCCTGTATAGCTGTGTTTCCAAATTTATGGGGATCGTAAGACCCTACGTTACTTTCTTTTCCTACCTGTTTGTCATGTTTAAGGAAAAGCTAGTTCTACTTCTGTTCATTGACATTTTAACACTTTTTGTTTAAGAATTGAAACGTTACTCTAGGGTGAGTAATACATGATATGTATATGTTAAATGGAAGCCAGAATAGCTGAAACCAGTAAGACAGTTTTCTGAAAGTATCTGGATTCTTTAAGACTCTATTGTGCCTAATTCCACAGTGTGCAAGCAGAAGTCAGCTTGTTCTTCAAAGAAAACTTTTACTGCTCCTGTAGTATTAGAAACTTTCATTGCAATTATGTTTTTTATTAGCTATTTATGTTTTGAAGTGAATTGTTTTGTACTTTAAGGAGCAAGGTGTTTTATATTTATTTATAGATCATTGTGTTGAAGAGTAATGCAGATCTTTCTTGGTGTGTCATATATGTTTCTATAAGGCTACAATACTTTTAAAAAATTCTCCATTTCATCTGTTGCAATTGAAGCTTAAATTCATTAAACTGTTTGAGTGAGAGAACATGCATCCAGAGTATTGTATATTTTAGCTTCACAAAAAGGGTCTGATATCAGTTGCTGAGGATATTATAGAAATGAGTTGTGTGCCTTTTTGATAGTGAGACAAGACTGTTGCATTTAACATACTTATGTTGTGATGGGAAGTGAAGGCATTCTTTCATGGGTGCTTGTTCTGCTTGACAAAAAAAGCTCTTGCATCTTGTCACATCCATTGTGGCTGGCAAACTCATATCTAGTACTACAAAAAACTGTCACAGCACAGTGTGGTAAAACAAAGTTGACTTGGATGCTCCTCTGAATAACTGTTATCTAACTGCCATGACATTACTTTCAGTGTGTATAGTGAAATGAGATGCAAGCGGGTTTTTCCTGAACTTCCACCCTGCAATATATTTGCATTCTGACTAAATAGATCAAACATTTGAAAAACCTCTATAGGAACCCTTGTTCCAGCTTTTTATTAGGCTTTTGGAAACTGTTCAGTATTGGAATGCTTGTTATTGGGGACATACTGGCTTATATTGAAGCAAGAGTCCAGTAGCACCTTAAAGACTAACAAAATATGTGGCAGGGTATGAGCTTTTGTGAGTCACTGTTCTCTTCTTCAGATACAGTCTTTAAGATGCTACTGGACTCTTGTTTTTTTTCCTACTGCTACAGAACTAACACAGCTACCCATCTTGGCTTAGATTGAGTAGAGGATGTCTGCATAACTGAACGCCCTATGACTTCTGCTCTCATACTGTTGGGTGGGGGAGTGTTTGGGGTCACACTGGAAGGTGGGCGGGGAGAAAAGGAGATTGCACTCCTCCCACAGAAATCTTTTCTATCCTGTGGAAGTTACTGGTGGATCCCAGCCTGTATCTAGATTGAGTCCATGTATGCCTGTCTCAGGTTAGAGCATGGGCGACTGAGCTATGAAAGACCCAAGGTCCAAAACTGGGACTGAAAAATAAAGTGTAGCTGGCAGTAAAAGGAAGTGAGATTCTGCACAGTTTTTAAAATGGGAAACTTCAAAAAATATATAGAAAGTTTTCCTACACAAAGGTATTTTAAATGCTGCATGGCCTACATCTTTACTGCAAGCAGGGTCTGACCTTGGTTAGAGTATCAATTTCAAGCCTTTATGGACATGGCTACTTGATACCTTAGGAAACCCTGTGTAATATTCTAAACTAGGAGTAAGGCCCATTGTGGGAAGAAATACGAGCTCTAGAAGGAAGCTCCAGGTGAGTGTCCCGACTGAACCTGGTGGGGTGGCAGAGGGAAGGGGAAAATAGAGGGAGGCAAGCCATGTTTATTTCCTTCTGCTTAGCTATAAGGCAGGGCTGTCTCAAGTCATTTTGCTGCCCCAAGTGGGTAGTATGGGAGGACAGCCTCATGGTAACAGGTATGGCTCCCTCAACCCCTGACTTACGTTGATTTGGGGTTATGCAGTGGCAGCTAAAGCAGAAAAGCACCTCCTCCTATGCCATGTCTTCTGGTTTCTCCAGGAGAACTGATCTTGGAGATCTCCAGGTGCTCCCTAGAGACTGGCAATACTAAGGGAAGGGCCAGACCTGTAGATTGGAGGGGTAGAGCCTGTGGGGAGGGCAGGGTTTGGGGTGTGGAGGGACCTCAGCAGGGTACAATCCCATGGAGTCCATTGGCCCAAGCAGCCATTTTCTCCAGGAGAACTGATTTTGGAGATCTCCAGGTGCTTCCTGGAGGCTGGCAATACTAAGGGGTAGGCCAGACCTGTACATCTGAGGGGCGGAGCCTGGGGAGGGCAGGGTTTGGGGTGCGAAGGGACCTCAGCAGGGTACAACTCCGTAGAGTCCATTGCTCAAAGCAGCCATTCTCTCCAGGAGAACTGATCTTGGAGATCACCAAGTGCTGTCTGGAGGCTGGCAATACTAAGGGGAGGGCCAGACCTGTAGATTTGAGGGGTAGAGCCTGGGGAGGGCAGGGTTTGGGGTGCGAAGGGACCTCAGCAGGGTACAACTCCGTAGAGTCCATTGCTCAAAGCAGCCATTCTCTCCAGGAGAACTGATCTTGGAGATCACCAAGTGCTGTCTGGAGGCTGGCAATACTAAGCCGCCCTGAGCCGTTTGGAAGGGCGGGATATAAATCCCAAATAAATAAATAAGGGGAGTGTCAGACTTGTAGCTATGAGGGGTAGAGCCTTGGTAGGGCAGGGTTTGGGGTGTGGAGGGACTTCAGCAGGGTATAATGCGTAGAGTCCACTGCCCAAAGCAGCCATTGTAATAGCTGGGAAATATTCTGTAGGGGAAATGATGTGCTGTGGCTGCGGAACACGGTGATTTCTGGGAGATCTCCAGGCCCCACAGGGAGATTGGCAACTCCAGTGACTGTTTTCGGGAAGATTGGGGTATATATTTTGGCAACTCCAGTGACAGTTTAAGGGAAGATTGGGATGTGTATTTTTCCTCAGGACACATTCAGTGACTCGCAACAACTAACTGTTTAGAATGTTAGAAGCAAAGGGCAATCAGGCCGCATGTGCAAATTACCTCTGTGTTCTGACTGGCTATTGGGGGGAGATGAACAGCAAACTGTTTAGAATATTGGAGGCGAGACTCAGGCAACGCAGCCAGTGGATAAGGACAGCTTCTGAGTGACAGATCAGGGAGCCAACTGATTTGGGAGCGTGTGGAATGTTCAGGAGAGTCCATGACCAACACAGAATTATATATAAGGAGAGATAAGTATCAGGAAAGGAATGGACTGCTCTCCAGGTTCCTCTGAAACTCAGGAAAGAACTGTATTTGAAACTTGGCCTCATATT